TTCATCTTTTCAGCATATATACAATGGCCTCATTGCGTTTATTAATAGTTTACAGTCCTTTTCTTCCAACATCGTGCAACAACTGTTACTGTTGGAAAGTTCAATAACTTTGGGTCATAAAAAGTATAACTCCAGATGCTTAAACACCTGTTGTCAGCAATGTGTGTAGTTTCATATGTGTTTTTAAAAGCTCAGTTATTGACTTCTTTCTACAGGTGTACATGTGGAAATTGCGCTACAATGCCTTCTGAACCAGAGAATGTGTGCTGCATTGAGATACCACAGGTAACATTTTTGATAGCTTCACTAAGTTGTCTGTTTAGAGAATACATTTTTCACATGTCATTCAATATGTTTATCACACTAGGTGTCAAGACGGATGCAGGAACTTGAGGACCCTGTGCCTTGTATGGTGGACCATCCTGGATTGGAGCCTGTGTGCCTAAATGTGTTCTCCCTGCAGAATGCATTGAATATATACAGAGCTGAATATGGGAGACTACAGATGAGGCAAATACAGCAGTGAGTGGTTTGTTTCTTTTGACTGAATTTGTAAAGCGTATGCTAATATTGTTCATGAAAATAAATACTGGTGTATATGGTTTTATCCAATCTTTCATTTCATTCTGTCATTGTACATGGCATTACTATTATATTATATACTACACAGCAATGGCATAACACACCCATGTGTATGACAAAAAAAGTCCACACACAACCTTATGCTTTTGAAATCAACATATACTTTACCCATCCAAACATGAATAATCATGACACATTTGATATAAACTGTCGGAACTTTATTCAAAATCAACGGTTCTTTGAACCCATAAAAAAAAGTAAATGTACTTGTATTTTACATAAATGACATAGGCTTTTCACTAAATATTCTTTGCAATTATTTCAGGCGTCACAGGTATCTAGCCTACAGAAGTTTTGTGAGCTGGTGCTGGGGCTTCCTTGGACGCAAGATCAGAGTGGTCATTCCGGCCTGCGTTGTCCTCAGGATTCACAGGGAGTTTCCTGATCCGCAAAACAACTATGTTGGGTTCAGACAGCAGTCAAATTGAACTGTGTAGCATAACCTGCGATGACCTCCTCCCTGTCAGGTCGCTCATATTGGGAACACAGGTCCTCTGGGATGGGTATCTTCAAAAGCTCCTGTGTGAATGGTGCAGGGTCCACAAAGACTTGGTCGAAGATGAGGTCCATCAAGTTGGCAACGTAGCCTGTGCAATATTGAAAAAAAGCAAAACAAATATTTGGTTTAGATTTTAATATGCATGTGAAAAAACTGAAAGTTCTTTCTACTTTTTTTTCAAATATTGTTTATTTTATAATTTGTTGTGCCAGTTGTGCAATACATACTTCATTTTAAAATGTATAAATGTGAATATTACTGGCACTTCAATAGATTTATAGATTTATTTTTCATGTGCTTGCGTCCTAATTCATATGGAAGTCTACTCTTTGGTTGTAAATAGTTGTATAATAAATATTTTAAACACTTACGGAATGTGGGGTCAGTCTTTATGGGTTTTGCTCTGCATTCTCCCTTCCTGGCCTTTGGGAACTGCAGTTTATACAGAGGGTTTCCAGTGGATGTAGTGGCTTGTGCACGATCAGCGTTTTCATTGTAGTGCAGGGCTGCCGGGTACAGTCTTTAATTTCACAGGTAATCTGCTGGTAGGATGTGAGGTGCTGGCCTGTAAAGAAGAAAACATAGTTAGAACAAAATCATCTCAATTTAGTATTCAGGATGAGAAAATACTATTTGGATAATTATAGTCTGAAATCCCAAAAGATGGGGGCTAAAACTGTCTATTTAGCAAAGCTCTTTGCTTAGCCTTTTCCAATCTGAGTTAGTTTGGAACCGTAACGTGCATGCTGTGTTTCTGACAGGAGACAGATGATGTGTTGGAGAGGGGCTGAGCTCCGTAGACTGACTGTAATGAGTGCTAGCCACTAATTAGCCTGTTGCTGGAGGTAAGGACTGTTGGAGCAGAACACCTCTGCTACGCGCCGTTCGTTGGATGAGGCTGGATCTCTATTAAATTAAGAAAGGAATTGAAAACACCGGAATCAAAAGTTATAACAATTATCTGAGTTTACTGGTAGGAAACCAAACACATATACAAGTTATACAGAGTACTCGAGTACTCCGGGCTTCAGGCTTGTGATGCGATGCGGACAAAGGTGTCGGGACCGGCCACTCAGCAAACCAGAAGCATTTTACACTCAAAAACAACAGTATACATACTTATATTTCGGGGCGGAGATGTGTTCACTTGTTCCCTCCCCCTTTTATTCGACAGCGAATTAGAGAGCCCCTGGGGAGGAGCTGTGTAAACTGCTCACCTCCCCCAAGTGTTCTTATTGGTTGGATTCACATCTGGTCGGGTTCAATAGTTCTCTCCAGAACTTGGAATTCCAAAGTTCCATAAGGTCAAAAGTCAATTCTTATCTCCGTCCCGATCTTAACTCCATTCCTTTTCCATGAGAGTTTTTCACATAAACTATCCTATTTCAGACATTTAAACCTTTCTCCACATATTTAAGGAGGTCTTTAACGACTTTAAAAACAACATCTGGCTTTTAGGGGTCAAAAGGCCAAGTTGGTGTGTGAAACAGAATCTCTGGATCAGTGAGTTTGAAAGTAAGAATATCATTTCTATATATATGATTACCCAAAACCGTTGTGATTACTTAAAACAGTTCAAACAATACATGTTCACTAAAATACAATTCAAAATAATACATGTTTACTTCAATACAGTGTAGAATCATATCTTTTTACTTCAGGACCCATCAACAACAACAACAACAACAACAAACCAACGGTGCTTTAGCTTGGTTTTACTCGTGGTGTGTCTCCCCCCTTGCACACATACACACACTGTTTTATCCTAACAGTCGTGCACACACACACCCATTTAAATTAATGTGCGCTAACAAGTAAACACACAAAAGCTTTTACATATAACGCTGCAAAAAACGGCGTGTCTCATTAGCGTAGCGTAGCTTAGCTTACAGATCGATGATATCTGATCATTCTTACAGACTACAATCACAAAAGCTTGTACATATAACGCTGCAAAAAAACGGCACTTAGCTACAGAAGATTACGTTTGTTATTATAACTTACTTTATATGATTTTAGAGGATACAAAATACTAATAAATACGAGAATAAATACTTGTGTTATCTGCTATGGCGTGGCTTTACAGCCTTCACACAGATCGCCATTGAGGCAGTATGTCTGAGCATGTTATCAAATGCCTGATAATTAAAATAAAAGCAAAGACTGCGGAGCGTACAAAATAAAATAAAATGTCACAAAAACATATAAACACCTAACCGATTACTGTTTGGGTTTGAGGCGACATTGATACGGCGAAGCTACATGCTACATGCTACAAGCTAGAATAGCTTTATCAGGAAAAACACCGCTAAATAAAAACGTACAGCTTCCAAATTGGATGTGGCCTCACTGGCCTGGTCCCGGATGGTGGGTATTGATCCCGGTTTTAGCCTTAGTTTGGAGGCATATCCTTCTTTGACTTGAGTGAAGTTCATAAACATGTCCGGGGCAAAATGTTGTGAACACACAAGCAGACATCTGCTGGAGTCTTCTGGCACATGTCCCTGGAAAATGTCAATGAACTCTAGCCACAGATTCTTGTCTTTTTCCAGGGATTCCATTGCATGCAGTATCTTGCCCTTGTCCCGATTCTTGCAGCCAACAACAGCACAACGTTTAACTCCCTTAGACATCCTTGTTAGAGCAGGCAAAAACACAGATGTGACTGGGGGAGCTTTAGCCTGCCGACAGCCTATATGCGAATGACAGGTTGGGCAATGGCCGTGGCCGTGGCCCAACCCCACATTCCCCTGATAGGTGGAGAGTTGGCCATATAGGCGGAGCTCCTCGTTCCTGACGTCAGAGCATTTTCAAATCTGGATCAGTCTGTATCAGATCCATTGCAGCCCTGTTTTTAGAGATTTGGGTATGGAGGAAAAGAGAGAGGGTTGTGTTTTCTGACACTTGGTGAGTTCCCTGACACACCGGGGACACATATTCATGTATAAAAGACGTACAAAAGTGAATTTTACATGATATGTCCACTTTAAATGAATGAAAATATTTTGTGGTGAGAAATGTTTTACTCAGATGTATTGAGTTAAGGGGAATTTATTAATAATGTCCATCTCTTTGGGGCAGCAGAATTCGGTAATCATTAATTTATGAAACACACCTTGGAAGTTTTCTTGATAAGGAGTAGTAAATCGTGAAATCAGATCATAACGATTGTGAGTCATTTAGCTTCATCATAGATGGGGAGTCCCCAAGCAATAATTGTCATCTACATAATGTGACTCATTGCATTGATTGTTAGCTGATTGAATTTTTGAGGGAACCTGGCAATTCTGACATTCGATAAAAAATGGCATTAGGGTATAATGTACTGTATTTGCTTCTCTTATTATGTTTGTGGCTAACAATGTAGACATTAGCTGTCCTAATAAGCTTCCAGTAATAGTCATGTTTCTGGTGACCAGGCAAATTATTCAACAAACTCATCTGTCTCTTTAAATGTTAAACGCTCCAATGTGTTCACCAGCTATATGCTAACACTCAGTTGCTGTTTTCTGCACCATACACATGCTTCTGATCCATTGTAAATACTACATTATAGGCTAGTCAATGTTTACATACTATTTAAATTAGCTCTATTTCGTTAGCTACCCGAAAAGTTGATTGGATATTTGAGCAGCACATTGCAGGTACAGACCTATCCAGGGCAGCGTGGGGCAGTGGAAAGGGTTACTGCAGAAATGTGTCCTGGTCCTGGGAGGTTTTATTCTTTTCCAGTTACTATTTACTCCGCAGTCCACTGCCTGTGACATCAGAACCGAGACTATATAAGTGAATGGAGGCAGGCAGTTTTAATAAATACATCTTCTCCAGAGCGGGAGGAGAACAAGAGAAGGAGCAGAAGGCAGTGGTGAGGGACATGGCCAGAAGACAGCTGCTCTGCTCTCTGCTGCTGTGTGTCATCACTCAGGTGAGGCCTCATGAGGCAGATCTATATCTAGGAGGATATTGTTGTAGCTGATGTTTTGCTTTTTGTTTGGTATACTGTATATGTGACCAGAAGATGTTGCATGCTTCAGAAATAACAGTTTCCCTTAATCCCATGTGGGATGAGCCAATGTTTGGCATGGAAAAAAATATGAATGACTGTATCTTATTCTATAATTGGAAAATCAGTCCAGGTGTTGTACTGCTGTCCCTCAGAATGATCTGTAGTGCTTATCAAAGGATATGTAAAGATCCTATTGTGATGTCTGAGTGTTGGGAGGGTAACTTTATACATGTATTATGTTACAATTACAAGTTACCTGTAAACAAAATGTAATCAGTAACCTAATCTGAGTGTGAAAATATAAAAGTAATGCAACCTGGTTACTTTCCGTTACTTTCGGATGACTTCAATATTGAATGCAATGCAAATAAATCCAATAGTAAAGAAATATCAATAAAATGTTTTTTACTGAAGTTAATTATTTAAGACAACAGAACAATGTGACCTTAGAAAAGAAGAAACCCAGGTATTTAGGATACAAAATTATTGGTAAGAAAACCTGTATTTCCTTCAGCATATTCAGGCAGTATACACCAACACTGAAACACATGAGCACATACTACAGTTGAAGTTTACAGAAAATGCTCCTTTACACACTATTTATTGAACATATAGGTTCACCTACTTAATTAAAAACAGAACAAATGAACCAAAGAAAGGGAAAACCATAAAGCAGATTCAGGCAGTAGGCGTATAGATTCACACTTAAAGGTGGGGTAGGTAATTTTGGAGAAACCAGCTCGAGTGCGCTAGAATTTGAAAATACACAGCCGGAAAAAATCTGCCACTTCCTTACAGAGCCCCTCCTCCAACACACACGAACGCGCACATGACCAATGAGGGCATGAGATAAGTTTGTGCACAGATGGAAGGCTGACAGGCAGGTAGGCCATCCAGTTATTTTAGCCGGGCTGGCTAAAATGATTGGTCGTGCTTTTTACAGTACTACGGCTTCCACAGATGACATTTTTTTATGGGTTTTTTGTCAAAGCACTTAAGATATTTATTGCTATCGGGATGTTAAGAGCATTCCATGGAATATAACAAAAAGTGTATCTCAAGCCGGTTTCTCAAACTTACCTACCCCACCTTTAAAGTATAAGCACAATAATAATTCCTACAATAAAATCTGATCCTCTTTTTAGATTTTCACTAACATTGTAATCCTGCAAATAATCCCCAGTTATAGAAATGTTACAGTAATCTGATATGTATTTTTTTATGTAACTTTAAGGGAATACAGTTACCTTGTTTGTATCCTGATAACATAACCCTTTACATGTAATCTGTTACTCCCCAAGCCTGCTGATGATCTGCGCTGACTAATCTTTTCACTATAGTAGTCGATTAGAAAAAACTTCCCCCTGACCTTGCTGGGTGACATAGGAAATAGATACACTGAAAATATGTGGTATGATTCAATGATGAACCTATAATCTGAAAGAGGCAGCTCATGGTTTGACATGGGGCTGTCCCTGGAAGACATACTGGGAGGCTGGCTCTTTTTGAGATGTGGAATGTTCGAGTACTCATTCATGTTACGAGATATTCATTGCTATCGGGATGTTAAGAGCATTCCATGGAAGATAACAAAAAGTGTTTCTGAAATAAATTACATAACCCACCTTTAAATATAGTTGGGGAAATTATATTTTAGCATAATCTTGACTAAACAGATGCAATTCACTTGAATAGCCATGCCATTCCTCAATCACATGCACATAGGACAGTGTTTACTGCAAGGCTATTGAGACCACACCCCCTACAGGCACTGTGCATTCCTCCATCACATGCACAGATGATTTCTAGAAGACTCGATCACACTTTTGAGCCCAAAGCACAAGACAAATGAAGCCACACATTTGAGCCTGTGGACTACACAAAGTGAAGTAAATTTTGATGATATTATGAGGTAATATATTTATTTAATGTTTAAATTGCAAATATCACATACAAATGTATTCATCTAGTACAGTGTTTCTCAAACTTTTTCATACCAAGGACCACTTAACCAATAAAAAAAACACTCGCGGACCACCTAACTCCCCAAATATCCAAAAACACATCGTTTTTCTAGAACAGATTACAAATCGTCTGAAAATGGTACAAACAAGTGGCAACATGTGTGACGAAGGTGTTGCGCTGGGCTCTATCATGCAATCGAAAGTGAAACTTAAGCTCGCTCGCGGAGATATTCCCGCGAGAGTGCGGAAAACTTAAATTAATTTATTCATTTCAAATATGGAATATTTCCAAAATTCCCCAGCTTAATTTCCCATGGAAATTTACCAGAAACTTTCTGGAAATGTACCGGAAATGTTCCGCCCCTTTGCAACCCTATAGAGTGGCGAAGTCCCTCCCCTTCCGGTGGACCTCCATGGGACCTTATTTCGGAAAAATTATGTATTGAAGTCAATGGAGAGAGAAAGATTATCTTTCGATCCCGTTTGAATTGTGCCACGAATTACACATATGCTGTTTGTCAATTTAAAAGATAATTTTGCAAGTAAAAAAAAAAAAAATGTGTCGTAAAACTGTGAAGTAACACATTTGTTTGTGTGAAACGCTCAATGAACTACATCTCTGGTCAACAACACACATCACCAAGATGGCCGTCACTACTGTCTTGTCAACACAACGACCCTCACTATTACCACAATGAAATACGTCCTGAAGAATGTCATACAAAGCTGCCTCCCTGCCTTCCTTTGATTCTCTCTGAACTGCCTGGTCGTTTTAATGTTTAATGTCAACCATTTGTGCAGATAGCATGAAGTAGAGAAGATCGCCGATGCTAACGTTAGCGTTAGCATTTCTCCCCCGGGCTTAAATGGTGTATTATAGAATGATTACACCGGTGACAATACTATTCAAAGGGTTCACGAAATATGACTACTACTCTTACTGTTTAACATTTTGGGTTACTTAATGTTACTTCATGTTAAGGCTAATAAAAATGACAAGGCTGTAATGCTAACTAACGTGCTAGCTACTAGCTAGGTAGCTAACTTGATCCACACACTCCTCTTTCATCAGACGGGAAGCGAAAGAATGAGCAAGACCCATTGCTGGTATAATAACAACCTGGTACTAAGCACACAGGCATCTTGTGAAAGTTATCTTATCTTAGCCAGCGCCATATAGATAGATTCTATCTATATGGCGCTGATCGTATATATACGGTATTATACGTATATCGTAGTGTCTCAATTGTGACATCACTTACGCGACTCTGGGATTTGTAGTCTTTCTAGTTGCGTATTTTTCATAGTCTTATATTTCAACAGTTTTACGACAAACTGTGACTTTTTTGACATGGAAATGATTTTTTAAGATTGACAAACATCATATGTGTAATTCATGGCACAATTCAAACGGGATCGAAAGATACGTTTTCTCTCCCCATTGACTTCAATGCATAATTTTTCCGAAATAAGGTCCCATTACCCGGAAGTAAGTGGGCGTGACTTCGCCACTCTATTTGAAACCCTCAACAGCATCATGTTTCTTCAGTAGAAAGAAATTCCAGTGAACAATACTTTCGCATAACATGACTTCATGCCAAACTCCTTCCAGCACTAACCAATTATCTTCAGTGAAGGCATACTTTACTTCACTGTGTAGCCAAACTTTACCTCAGCGTAGGTGTGTGTATGTGGTCAAAACCTGTTTAAACTCTAGGTGGAACCGGAACCCGTAGAAACAAGCATTGTTTCCTACTTTTATACCCTGAGAGCTAATTGGCTGCAAAACAGGCTGCTGAGCGACAGTATAAACAGCAGCTGTATCTCGCTCCCAGGGGTGGAGTACTCAGATCTTGTACTTGAGTAAAAGTAGAAGTAGAGTGTAGGAATACTCTGTTACAGTAAAAGTCCTGCATTCAGAATCAAAATGTTACTCAAGTAAAAGTACAAAAGTATTAGCATCAAAATATACTTAAAGTACCAAAAGTAAGAAGTAGTCATTTTGCAGATTGGTCCATTTCAGAATAATATATATGATATGTTTTATAAGGATTGATCATTAAAGTGTTCTCAAAGCTGGTAAAGGTGCAGCTAGTTTGAATGACTTTGTATACTGCAGGGTAGCTTGTGAATTTACTCCAGGTGAAACTAAAGTCTGATTTAAGACTTGATTATATTTCACATCATTAATCCAAATCTGTAAAAGGTATTAAATACAAATAGTAGAAGTACAAAGTAGCAAAAAATGGAAATACTCAGGTAAAGTACAAATATCTCAAAATGGTACTTGAGTATGTGTACTTAGTTACTTCCCACCTCTGCTCTCTCACACCAGGTGTGCTGCCAACCTTGTGTGGGGCCCTGTCAGTGCCCTCCCAGCATGCCGCGCTGCCCGGCGGGGGTCCCCCTGGTGTCAGACGGCTGTGGGTGCTGCAGGCTGTGCGCCCGGCAGGAGGGTGAGGCCTGTGGCCCCCGGCGGCCCTGTGATGCCTCCCGGGGCCTGCAGTGTGACCTCAGCGCCAGCTTCCCTGGGGAGCCGGGACAGTGTGTCGGTGCGTACACACTCACACACTCACACTCACACACTCATACAAATCAGTCTGATCAGAAGCTACTGCTACTCCGTGCTCTGCTCATTACTACCACAGCATCGCCTACCTCTCATTTAAAGGATAACAGCCATTTCATGTTAGGGCTGTCCTAACTACAGCCCGTGTGTAAAAATATATTACACAGTAATTTTCATGTGTTAATGAAGTCAATTATAGTTGAGAACATTTTCAAACAAATGTTAGTTGATTAAAAAAAGCCCATTAACTTATTAACATAACAAGCTTGAAATATACCCTTCCTATTTCTCCTTATTATAAGCAATCTGAGGTAACTACTGATAGTACTGAGGTTGCCTGCTACTACAACAAGTACTACTACCACTACAACTACTGCTACTACTATGTTCATCATGATAATAATTATTGCATTATTGAGCAGGTATGTGTTTAATTTCTTTCATGTTTTCAGTTATTTGATAAAACCGACCATCTTTCTGACTCCCTATAACAGTTTCTTGCTCAGCTCCAGGTAGCGATTCAATACCAACATGTTTCCTGCAGGTTCTCTGTCTGCACATGTTGACTTAACTCACCACATATTGGCACCAAAAGGATGCAGTAAGCGTGGCACTCCCCCGCATAACGTCCCCCCCCCTCCTTCTGTTGTGGTCAGGTGAAAACCAGCTGGGCTGTGAGCTGGATGGCAGGAGGCTGGAGGAGGGGGAGGTGTTTCAACCGTCCTGTGACCAGCTGTGCCACTGCATGGGTGGGGGGGTGACCTGTGTGCCCCTGTGCAACGAGGATCTGCAGAGGCCTGCTGAGGGGTGCCCCCGCCCTCAGCTGCTCAGACTGCCAGGCCGCTGCTGCAGGGAGTGGGTGTGTGAGGGCCGGGACAACAGCATCGTCCCCAACCCCCCTGCAGGTGAGGGGGGTCATGTTGTCCATGATGTTACACTATCAGAAGAACAACGGCAACAACAAATGTGTTTGTTCAGATTCATATGAAAGAGGAAAAGCCTGAAATAGCTACATTTTGAATTTGTATTTGTTTATTTAAAGTGGACCTATCATGCTATATTTAAATGATATATTGTAGGGCCATACCTATATAAGGTATATTTATACGTTTCTGTTTTCAAAATACCAAACAGATCATGCATTTTAGCCATGCCTCATTTCGCTCTATTTGCTGTTCTCCAGCACTGTTTTTGCACGGGGCTGATTCTGTGAGCTGCAGCTGACCACGCCCCCCTGCAGGAGAGGGGAGCCGTGCTCTGATGAAGTCAGAAGAGGGGGAGAAAAATAGATCTCCGTCCTCCGTGTTTTATTATATTATTATAGGCCTATAGAGTCGTTATTCATTTGTTTTAAAGCTCAATAAATAACAAAGAAGACCTTTGACCGGCACTTTTCTAATTTTGTCCGGAAGATTTAAACTTTAACGGACATCTTGACCAGCGAAAGAAAACCTAACTGAAACTCTGCCGCACGGTCCCCTCGTTCCTTGGAAGAGGCGGAGAGGTCGGTGTTTGTCATCTGCTGGTGGACTAACCGGAGATAATTACAGTGCTTGCCTCGATGGGGAGGGATTGCATTGAATTAAAGCAGCGGGAGCAAACGCTTGCCTCGGGGAGGGAGAAAAAAAGCCACAGCGGAGAATAAACAGAAGGGTAACCATGGTAACCATGCACGGGAAGTCTTCTTCGCTGCTTTTGTGGCAGACTACAGCGCCACTTACAGGCCTGGCATATGTACTACAGCGTCTCCAGCGCTTTCGAGTGGCAATGGCCGGCCGTGGCCCAACCCCACATTCCCCTGATAGGTGGAGAGTTGGCCCAATAGTCGTAGCAACACCGTCCTGACGTCAGGACAGTGTTCAAATCTGGATCAGTTTTTATCAGATCCGTTGCAGCCCCTTTTTTAGAGATTTGGGTATGGAGGAAAATAGAGAGGGTTGTGTTTTCTGACACTTGGTGAGTTCCCTGGAACACCGGGGACACATATTCATGTATAAAAGACGTACAAAAGTGCATTTTGCATGATAGGTCCCCTTTAAGAAGGGACAATGCACTTCTGTCGTGTTGGTTTTTCCCCCCTTACTTTGGTGTTCCCTGTCAAATTTGACCCGTCAGTTATGCCCCTTTCACACCAACGCGGTTCCAGGGCCAGTTCGGAGCTTGAGCCTGATAAGCACCGTTTTTTTCCTGTTCACACCGCAGCAGAGCCGGCTCTTTTCCCTGAAAACCGCATATGTCACGCTTACGTCGGAGGGGGGCGAGCAAGGCCGCAGGGCCAACTTGGGCCCCACGCAAAAGTGTTTCATATGTCCCTCCGGGTCGGCCACACATGTTTTGCGAACGTTGACGGTTCGAACTGTTAGCGCCGGAGCCTCGCAGCGGGGAAACTGAAACTGTGGAGCGCATAATTGCACCGCATTTGCGCATAAGATTAATTGCACCGCATTCACGCATAGATCGTCCGCAATATGAGGCCCCCTCAGCAAGGTGAGGCCCCACGCAGTCTGCGTGATCTGCGTGTAGGGAGGGGTGGCCCTGGGGGCGAGATTAACCTGAGCAATAACAGTTTATGGCCATTACGGCAAATACAAGTTGTAACAAGCATTAGCGCTGAGCAAAGTGACTAGAACGTGACCACACACTTTATAAAGTCAGGCAACACTGACCAGGCTTAGTGTGATTCTGTTTATTTGTACCTTACTTTGACCATCCGTTCGCTGTTATTGATCATTGTGGAGAGCAGACAGACGTTTTGTTTTGTATTATAGCATGCTATCGGTGAGTTCCCTGGAACACCGGGGACACATATGCATGTATAAAAGACGTACAAAAGTGCATTTTGCATGATAGGTCCCCTTTAAGTACAATTTTGAGATATTTGTACTTTACTTGAGTATTTCCATTTTTTGCTACTTCTTCCTACTACTCCACTACAGTTCAGAGGTAAATAGTGTAATTTTACTCCACTACATTTATTTGATACCTTTAGTTACTTTGCAGATTTGGATTAATGATGTGAAATATAATCAACTCTTAAATCAGACTTCAGTTCCACCTGGAGTAAATTCACAAGCTACCCTGCAGTATACAAAGTCATTCAAACTAGCTGCACCTTTACCAGCTTTGATAACACTTTAATGATCAATAATTATAAAACATATCATATATATTATTCTGAAATGGACCAATCTGCACAATCACTACTTTTACTTTTGTTACTTTAACTACAGTATGGCGCTGTTTACACGGGAACGAAACGGATTGTATCCGCTACTTTTCTCTTTCGTATAGCCCGTTCGTTCACACGAGGCCGTAATGGAACCGCGGAAACGGACCCCTAAAACGATAAAGGGTCCCAAGGTGGATAGATCTGCGGACGGAACGCTCTGGGGGGCCAAACGGCTCTGTGTGTACGTCCTATACGATCATTTTCCTGATAACGATGAAGCCATAGCCCCACCTCTCCCCACCTCTGCTGCTCATGTGTAGCATGGTCAGTAGCTACTGTCAGCTACTGGCAGTAGCTACTGACCATGCTACAGATGTAGAAAAAAAATCTACAGCTCCTCTACCACAACCATCAGCAACAAGTGGACATGGAGAACTACATGAACTACATGTTGCTAAATCCACCGCGGAGAATAAACAGAAGGGCAACCAGGCAACCATGCTCGGGGGTCTTCTTCGCTGCTTTTGGTGTATTTTGTGGCGGAAGTACAGCGCCACTTACAGGCCCGGCATATGTACTACAGTGGGTCGAGCGGTCTCGTGTGAAGGGACACGTTTATTGAACCGTATCCGTGTGAACGGAATACTTTTTTGATATCGAATTCGGTTCGTTTGCGTTCCCGTGTAAATGGGGCCTATATTTTTAATGCTATTTACCTAAGTCATATTTTGATTGCAGGACTTTTAATTGTAATAGAGTATTCCTACACTCCTTTCCTTAAGTACAATATCTGAGTACTTCTCCCACCTCTGCTGACGGCCCAGAGGAACCTTGCAGGCCGTAGAGGCATTTCCTTCTGATCCCTGCAAGCCCTGAAGTAGATGGATGATTTTCAGCTATTTCCTGTGAAACTAAAAGCTGGTCAGCATGTGAACACATGGACCCACAGGCAAATACCAGCTTTGTGTTGTGAGGAGATAAACAGATTTTAATACCAAGGAAGAGTGACTAAGACCAAACATCTGTGAGCACTATTCTTAGCAACGCTGCAGTTTACAACATGTCAGGGTCCATATGGTGTTGAATCTCTCATCAAAGCTGTCCACTCCAAACAACTTTCAGCCTGATGCACACAGAACATATTTTCCTCCAGCAGATGAGCCGGTGGGTGGGCTGTATGGCCCGTCGTTTGGCTCCATCTCCAACTGCATCCACTGGAGCTCAGACTGGAGCCCCTGCTCCCACAACTGTGGCCCCGGGGTCTCCACCCGGAGCACCAATAGGAACTGGGCCTGCCGCCTGCAGACTGAGGCCAGACTGTGCCAGGTCCGGCCCTGCCAGACTCTGCTGGGGCTCCGCAGGCTGCAGCCGGTCAGTCCCACCACCACACACTTTAAGACTTTTCAGAGTAAAAACAGGCATATCGTTTACAAAGGCTTTTGGTGAGATACTGGCTTTCTGTGCATCTCCGGCAGTGGCTCAGTCAGTAGGGGCTTGGACTGTGAGCCGTAGGGTCGCTAGTTCCCCGTACAGACCTAAGTATGGAGTGTGGACTGGTACTTGAAGAGGTCCCAGTTCACCTCCTGGGCCCTGCCGTGGTGCCCTGTGCCACCGGACACCACCCCCAAACCCTCACTCCCAACTGCTCCCCTGGCGTTGGGCAATAGCTGCCCGCTGCTCATAGTGCTAGGATGGGTTAAATGCAGAGGTCACTGTAAGTGCTGTGTGCATGTATGTGTGACCAATAAAGAGGGTTTCATCCTTCGATTCTATCATTTTTACATTCAATTGATTTGATATATGTATGGGGTCAGATCAGTGTCAAAAATAAATAAATGCACACAGAAGGATTCACAAATGTAATTCCGGATGTATATATAAATATCTACACACATTTTTCAATGCACACACAAAAACATATCATTTTATAAATGTAAAAAAAGTTTCACAAATATATTTCTGATTCACACACAAATAGTTACATCAAAAACATATTTGAGTGTTGTTACATTTATATAAAAAACGCTTTCTGTGTGTGAATCTCTCTGCATTTGTGTGTGGACTTTTGAGACTCCCCTGACGCCGCTAGATTCACACATACATTTTTTTAAGAGGCAATTGTCTTCGGCCAATCAAAATGCTTCATTTTAAGCCAATCACATGCGTGTGTCCCCACGAGGTTGTGCCTAATGTGTTTGCAACGTAGCGTAACATCTACGCGGTTTGCAGAGTCTGGGGGTGTGACAGAGTCCAGGGGGGTGACAGTTCAGAGTTCATCTCCAACAACATGGCATCTGGAAGTGGCGCTCCCGCTACTACACATTTTGTCGTTAGTCATGCAATAATATCGAATTATAAATGATTACTTTTGCTTAATTATGAAGGTAGCTCAGTTAGTTTGAGGATATTTTGCCCACTGCTACTCTGCTACCACTGTATTTACTGTGATTAGAACGTTGATTTTACCCACTAGTGTTCTGCGGGCGAACACTTGTTTACCAACACTGATTACTCCTATGGCTAACGTTACCTTATGATCCTACTCATCCTAGGTTGTCTATTAGCATTATTTAGCTTACTCTTTCGCAAACGCTAGTATTAAATGCCACGCATAATACATCAATACACACCAGTAACAAAGCAACCATTCATAGCTTAAACATACTTAATCATGAACGCCAATATACTTCTACTTGAAGCGATAGACCCTGTCAAACTTCAATTAAAGATAATACTTGATAGCAGAACAACCAAATTAGCATGCAGACATTTTAGACAGACTTAGCAGCGCTAGCTAATGTTAGCTTATATTAGTTACAACACAATTAAACCTACTGAACAGGTTTCAAAATATCCTCGAACTAACTGAGCTACCTTCATAATTAAGCAAAAGTACTCATTTATAATTCGAGATGATTGCATGACTAACGACAAGATGTGAAAGTATTATACTTCACTTACACTTCCAGATGCCATGTTGTTGGAGATTAACCCTGAACTGTCACCCCCCCAGAGTCTGTCACATCCCCAGACTCCGCAAACCCCGTAGATGTTACGCTACGTTGCAAACGCATTAGGCACACCCTCGTGGGGACACACACATGTGATTGGCTTAAAATGAAGCAGACATCTGATTGGTCGTTTTTTTAAATGTAACAACACTCAAATATGTTTTTGATGTAACTATTTGTGTGTGGATCAGAAATATATTTGTGAAACTTTTTTACATTTACAAATGTTACGTTTTTGTGTGTGCATTGAATAATACGTTTGTGGATAGAGACATTTATATATAAATCGGGATTATATTTGTGTATCCTTCTGTGTGCATTTATTTATTTTTGAGACTGATCTGACCCCATATATATGGAATTAAATAAGATAAAAGATAAGACATACTTCATTGATTCAAATGTGGGATTGGTTTCCTTACCAGCTATGTCCAGATAAGACATTGCACATTAATTGGAAGTAAATCAAATAAAAAAAATGATAATGTAAAAATGTATTTAAAACAAAATTACAGATATACATATCAGCTGTAGAAGATAAACAAAATACGCAAAATGGTGAATACATATCTATGGAGCATATGTATTGAATACACAATATAAATAATATACAGAATTGAAGGCAATGTACATTACGCTTGTCCAACCTATCAAATGTAAACATTGAATACAATATACACAAGATTGACTATATATGAAACTCTGAAAATCATAGCTCCTGTTAGCTAGACGACACAACACTCACTGGCATAACAGCAGACAGCAATCACAACACTAGGATGAGGTCAGTAAAATAAAGTGATCTCAAGCCACTGTAAGAAGGGTCCAACTGTAGACCAGGTAGACCTCATATAGACCATGTAGACCTCATGTAGACCTCATGTATGCAATCCTATATGAAGAGTAGGGTGGGGGTGAGACGTAAGACTGGCAAAAGATTACATTACATGTCACTTGTTAGACGCTTTTATCCAAAGCGACTTACATACATTCAGTACTGTGGGCAATCCCCACAGGAGCAATTTGAGGCGAAGTGTCTTGCCCAGGGACACAACGACATGCTGACTGCAGTGGGACTCAAACTTGCTATCCCCTGATTCAAAGATCAGCGCACTAACCCCACTGAGCCACAGCCTCCCAAAGATAACCATGTGTTGGTCAATGATAAACAACCATGTGAATATATAATACGTCCTCTGAAAATAATGAGAAAACATCTCCTCTTTTGTCAAGTGTTTGTGAATTATGTGTACCCAAACCTAATATCCATAAAAAACAAACATTCAAAAATATGTATAAGTATTACTTACTCAGGACCATTACCACTGGTATGTTGGCCCACTAGTGTTTTATGTGAGCATTACATAGGATCCTACTCTGTAAAAAAAAGCAGCTTAAGTTCAATTTCAGAAAAAACTTAAACGGTGTAAGACTTTTTGACCCTTGCTGACCTCAGGGTCCCCAGGTGATTGTGTGTTAGACCATGTAGCTGAGCGAGGCTGGTGTTCTCTGATTGGCTCAGGGGCAAAGGGAGGTAAGGTTTGGTTAAAAGGACACTGTAATAAATCATGACATTATTGATTACAGCATCCCTACCAATACATATATTTAAATTACAAATGTTGTGCCATCATTTAGGATAAGAATTATCCCTCTATCAATGACTTGTCGCTGGACATGTAACAAGACAACCCACAGCTGAACAACTTGTATTTCAGGGTCCGGGGGGGTGTGAGAGCAGCTACAGTTCCCCTCTGCCGGACCAACTGGAGCACCAGGGCTGCAGGAGCACCGGAGCCCACCGGCCCCGCTACTGCCCCCCCAGCTGCAGCCCCTCCCTCACCAGGACCGTGCGGATGGTTTTCCGTTGTCCCCAGAACAGGCTGACCCTGCAGCAGGTGATGGTGATCGAGTCCTGCTCCTGCAGCCCCTCCCCCTGCCGCCGCCGCCCCCCTCACCGCAGGCCGCGCTGCCCTGCCCTGGCTATGGGCTGCATCTGAGGAAAGGGACTCAACACACACCGGGGTGTAAAGTAACTAAGTACATTTACTCAAGTACTGTACTTAAGTACAAATGTAAGATACTTGTACTTTAAATGAGTATCTCAATATTTGTGCTACTTTGTACTTCTACTCCGCTACAATTCAGAGGCAAATATTGTACTTCTACTCCATTAATTGAATGCCTTTAGTTACTTTACAGATTTGAATTAATGATGTGAATTATAATCAACTCTTAAATCAGACTTTAAGTATATTTTTGATGCTATTACTTTTCTACTTTAACTTGAGTAACATCTGCAATTCATGACTTTAACTTGTAACAGAGTATTCCTACACTCTGGTACTTCTACTTAAGTACAAGATCTTAGTACTCCCCCCCCCTGCATACACACATGATGGTTTAACCAGGGTTTTAAATGAGGGAAGTATTCAAATCAGGATGGGAAACAAGATATGAAAGTATCTGTGAGAATGTATCCAGATGTTTTGTAAATGGAAACTCAACAAGTAATACGATTTATAAAGTTGTTTCTATCCAGATCGTTCCCCGGGTTGTTTCATTTCTCTGTTTCTTAATATTCTCATGTACTATTTGCATGATGTCTGCTCTATGACCGTTAGCAGCCACAGGTTCCTGAATAGATATGATAATTAGATCATGCACTTTGGGTTGTGTGTTCACAAACAGAACAGAGATCCACCCAGCACTGTATTTCCCCTTTGCTCTGCTTTACTCTCCATCTCGGTGATCTCATTAGTTTCCATCAGCTACACACATGCATACACATTCACATATCTAAGTGATTAAATCTGGGTATTAATTTGCAAATGTTAGGATGGATTTTTGATTTCATTGAAAGAGGTGAGTTCTACTTGTCCAGGTGTTGTTTTAGAATGCTGCTTTGATTTGAGGTCACTAGGTCATATGAAATGAAAGCTATTGAAAAAAACGACTTATTTCAGGTCTCCCTTGAAAAAGAGATCTATGATCTCAATGGGACCATCTGGTTAAATAAAGGTTTGAAATGAAATGAAATGAATTAATAAAAAAATGCTCAACTTTCATAAAAATACTTTTTTTTAAAAACACTATAATCCAATAAAGAAAGAGGTGTGTCCTCCTTCAGCTCAGCATTACAATGATGTCATGTATTATTATTATTACAGCTATTGAACAAATAAATCAAAGAGATGTGTTCAACACGTCGGGGTATTACAAGGCTGCATTGATTTTGAGTCACTTGGGTGCATGACATGAAAGCTATTTAAAAAAAGAGTCTTTAAATAGAAAATATGCTGAATTTTTAATAGATTATTATTTTGGAATATTTAAATAATTATTGGATTGATTCACATATATTTCATGGAAAATGAGATACATATTGTGTGTTTAACCAAAAACATTACACATTACACATTAAGCCCTGGCTTATCTCTGCATTTGATTGTAATGATGGTCCACAATCCACCTTTAAGGTTATTGCATAATCAGTGTTTGTCAAGAGGGAGTGTGTGAGTGCTTCCAGGGCCGAACCTGAAGCAGGACATTTTTATATTCTGATAGTAATAAGTCCACGAGACATTTTCATAAAGTGTTATTCATATAAAACAGCTGGAGTAAATCAGTTCACAGGAATGCAGGTCGGTGATGGTATTGTGTGTGATCTGTGTTTAGTCTGCATGTGTATCACACCGTCTCCTGCCGGGGAAGTGGGCGGGCATCTTATTGCTTTCGAATTCACTTCAGTTTTGTTTTGCACAAGTTTCTGCGAGAGCCGGCTGGCAGCTGTGTTTTTATCCAGTGGAAAACTTGAAGTTGAATGATATGGAGATTTTTTCGCTAGTGGGGACTCAGGAGATGTCTGGGAACAACACGCCGGCCCCCTGCGGGCCCATCGACATTAACTTTACGCACACCTTCCTGCCGTCCGCGTTCGTCACGGTGTTCGTGGTCGGGACGCTGTCCAACATCTGGGGACTAAGAAGCCTGTGCAACAGCTGGAACAACATCGGGAACATTAACATCTTCATGTTCAACCTGGGGGTGGCGGACCTTCTGTACCTGTTCACCCTGCCTTTCCTCGTGCACTATTACATAAGGAAGAGCAGCTGGGAGTTCGGCCAGCCTTTCTGCAAGGTGACCCGCTTCTGCTTTAACCTCAACCTGTACGGCAGCATTGGCTTCCTCACCTGCATCAGCATCTACAGGTACCTGGGCATCGTGCACCCCATGCGGGTCATGGGGAGGATCAGCAGCCGACACTCGCTGGCCGTCAGCGCGCTGGTCTGGCTGCTGGTCATCATCCAGATCCTCCCTGATATGTTTTTCGACAAGAATAATCCAAAATCCACAAACTCGTGTTATGACACCACCTCTAACGAGCTGATCGAAGAATACCTGCCCTACAGCGTCGGCTGGACCGTCACAGGGTTTGCCATCCCCCTGGTGATCATTCTGCTCTGCTACGGACACGTTGTTGTGGTTCTCGCCAAAAAATCATCTAACGTCAACCCTGTGCTGAAGCAGCGGTGTGTGAAACTGGTGGTGGTTCTGGTGATTCTGTTCTCCATCTGTTTCATCCCTTACCATGTCTTTCGGAATGTTAACCTGAAAATCAGGATTTTGAAACAGAGTGGGGATTGCCGCGCCAGTTTCCGAAACATCTACATTGCACATCAAGTGGGCAGATTCCTGGCTAGTCTGAACAGTGCCATAAACCCGCTGATCTACATCGTGGGGAATGATGACTTCCTAATGAGGATCCACCGGGTCAGTAACCGGGCCCGGATGTCTCTGGCCGGTCTGACAGGAGCTGCGCGTTACCGCAGACCGATTTTAGACGCACAATTCTTCACCCTAGACACAAATCCGTGAGTCGCTGTGTTTCTTGCACCGCCAGAACTTCCACATTTCCGGGAACAAAGTATGATGAATGATGATTGGCAGGACATTAAGTCTATTATCTAGCAGTACCAGTCATCAGGTCACCAAGGCGACGGCACAGAGACAATCTGATGACCTTCTGGAAAACTGTATCTGCAGACTGAATTATATCAGAAGAACTGTTTGTTTTGCAGCTGAAGCTCCTGTTTGCATCACATTTAATGCTCTAATGTAGGCCTATTGCATCAAGTATTTTTGATATGCGCCTTGGCGCTGACCATATTTTGCACTTTCTGTGTGTGACTGTTTGTGCTTCAGAGCTGATTGTTCTGTACAGTGCAGGAAACGTTCGGTCCAATACATGTTTGGACATGGCAGTGTGTGGGCCTGCCTTGGCGCTTTAATTAAGCCTTTAATATAGCCTACTTAGCAGTGGATTGAAATTCCACTGTGCATGTGACCGTGCCACATCTCTTAATTGCACGTTTGTTTAGAGAAACTGGAACTGGAAAAGGAACTGCAACAGTGATTTTCACTGTTGCAGTTCCTTTTCCAGTTCCAGTACAGAATTAGGAAATATTCTAAACCGCAGTAAAAATACAATTAATACGCCGTCCTGTATTCATGTGTTCAAGTCACAAATTAATACACTTATAGTGCAGAGGGCCGCCTGTCTAAAGGAAATACTGTTTTGTACTATAGTGTTAGATAATTATACACAGGTTAATATATATTACGTTTTTATGAAAGCATTTAAGAGAGTGTTCATTCCTCTTTATGATCATTTTGTGCTACTGTTAAACTGTTTTGCATTATACAAATATGTGTTTCTGTTATTTTGTCCAGCCCATTTTGATCAGATAAGGCAAACAGAATCCTTACTGACTTGTGTATTAGACAGGACATTTTCATGTAGATATAATAAACTGGCTACTGTTTTTATACATATATGGCTGAAACTCATGATTGTTTATGGATTGGATCTGTGGTTAGGGGTAGGGACTTGAAGAAGCAGCAGCTTCTGAGCTGAAATCTCTTAAGTCATTGAAAAAAAAAGAGTAAATTACAGGTACCTCAAAAAAAGCACTTCAGTACAAAGCAGAAATAAATGTGAATTATTTACTTATCACCGCTGGTTTGAAAACACCAATAGTAAACATACTTTAGTGAAACACAGGGCTGTTCCAAATGTCTTTATAACCTGTCTCTAAACATCATGTTTGATGACTCAGTTCTACTGTTAGCAGGTCCACTGTTTAAACGGCCATGACAGACCTCACCTCTAGATACTGCCTCTTAAAACTTCATCGATTAACCCAAAATTATTGAATTAGCTTTAATAAGATTTAGTGGAAATAAAAATATTACTTGGAAATTGTTTCAAAGGAAACCAGAACTCAATTTTGAACACAGGGAACTTTTGCTCTTGGTTACACCTCACACTGTATGCAGGTTATTTACATATTTTAGGTTGCAGGCATGGCAAACATTTCCACGCTATCTGTTGAACAGGAAGTCTGTGTGGTTTTGACACAGAACGGTTACAAGCTCAAACTGCCAGAAAGCTTAACAATCACCTTCACAGGAAAAAGAGGGAACTTTTGTAGTATCAACAAGATGATTTTGAGATTTAAGATTGTTTAATTGGCATTCTAAATTAAGGGTAGGGATTGGGATTGGGATCTGAGGCTCCACTTGATACGGGGTTCCTCCTCCAGAAGCAGTTTGGATACTTTGAAAGTTGGCCAACTCTCACTGTTGTTGGAAACTTACCTAAAATGTTTTATCGTCTAATTGTATTAATGTGATCACATTATCCCTCCCGATATTTTTAAAGATCTGCTATAAGCTAGTTTGCTAACGTAGCTAACCTAGTCATTTTAAATATACTGTCAAAACACTTACAGTTATGAAAAATACTGACTATGCCAACAGAGACAGTTGTCCAGCTCTATAATCAGGGGTGCACATAACTTTTTTAGTGAGTTACTCAGATGAGTACCAAGAGACAGCGTTTGGTACTCACCCCACACGAAGCGTGGTCCTCCTCAGTGTCTCCTTCACTGTCCTCAATTTACACTTCTTGCATGCTAGATGATGAAGATGATGAAGATGCACCTCCCTGTCTCTTTTTAAGCCTCCGATTTGCTTTCTCCAAAACTTGTTGCCAAAACTGTGAAGTCCTTGCATTTCCTGAGGCCAAGTTGAAGGATCAAATACTAAGAAATGATCACATGACTTGAAGTCATATCTGATTTCAAATGTGGGAAGTAACAAAGCACACTTATTTACTCAAGTACAATTTTGAGATACTTGTAGTTGACTTGAGTATTTCTATTTTATGCTACTTTATACTTCTACTTTTACTCCACTACATGTATTTAATACCTTTAGTTACTTTACAGATGTGGATGAATGATGTGAAATCTAATCAAGTGTTAAATCAGACTTTAGTTCCACCTGGAGTAAATTCACAAGCTACCCTGCAGTATACAAAGTCATTCAAACTAGCTGCTCCTTTACCAGCTTTGAGAACACTTTCATGATCAATCATTATAAAACATATCATATATATTATTCTGAAATGGACCAATCTGCACAATGACTACTTTTACTGTCTCTACTTTCACTATATTTTGATAATACTTTTCTAATTTTACTTGAGTAACATTTTGAATGCAGGACTTTTACTGTAACAGAGTATTCCTACACAAGATCTGAGTACTTCTTCCACCTCTGTCTGATTTCAAACTCTTCCATAACACCCTGAGTAAGTTTGCAGCTGTGTGTTTCACTCCACTTTGGTGTAAATAAAACTGCAGCAGCTTGACCACAGAGCGTGAACGTTGTGATCAGATGATTTTGCGCAGTTCTCCAGTGTGTGCGCGGGGCACAGAATGTGCACAGGGGAGTCTCCCACCGCAGCCAGTTGGCGGACTTTTGGCACAATTCTGTTGTTTATACCGACGTTAACCCTGTCTGTGCACACGGCGACCAACTCTGTCGTCCAGTGATCTAAGCCTCTGCCCCCTGGAAAGCTTCACAGGTCCGTCGGTTATGTCCTGCGCGGCTCACCCAGCTCCAGTTCAATCAGTCATAGAAAGATTTTTTGCAGGGAGCGAAACGGCAACGTAGCTGCTTAATGTCTTTGGGTTTTTTGACATGCCTAGTAGTTTACTCCATTGAGTGTTGACAAGAAACACGTGTAGACGAAATATGTGTTTTGTTTTGATGTTTTGAGGTACGCAAAGGCGCGTAGTGACACAAGTGACGTTACGCAATTCAGATTTGTGCCGCGCATGCGTACCTGCGTACCAGTTATGTGCACCCCTGTCTATAATCCTGAACATCACCAAGCGCTCAGGTCCCAGCTGTGTGCGTCACAGCATTTTCGAAAGTGTAGCGCGTTTCTCCTATAGTGTTTGTGTAAGTGTTTTGGGCTGTTGTTGCAGGTCGGCCACCATATAAAAACAGTGATACAAAGGCAGCTGGTGTTTTAAGCCACTCTGAGATTAGTTTCCTTAAGCAGACCGAGGTGGTCTTGCCTGTGATTTTGGGACGTAGCCTAACTTCTAAATCTAGGTCAGAGGAATTAAAACAGTCGTTCCTGGTGTCTTATCAGAACCGGAGTTCAGTAGGCCCTACGGGATACAATCCACTTGCAGCGCATTTTCTAACGCACAGATTATGTGATTAGAGTCAAATGCAATTCCATAAATGATCGATTATTTGGTTTGCAGGGTTTTTCTCCCAAATAAGCAAATGTTGTACTTTGAAGATGCAGAAATGGGTGTGCAGAGCAGAATGTGGAGTGTATCTGGTTTCTCAGCTATGCAGGAGATATTTATCTCCCTGGTGCTATAATGACACAATACTGAGAGTTTCAGGAAGCTGTTCCTCTGCGTAATGCTCTGCTTAATGTGTCAGTAAAATATGTGATTTTGTCCATGTTCAAAACGTAAAGGATCTCCATTTTTAGATATAGGCAATCTAGGTACAGCCTCTGATTTACAATGTAGGCTAATTTCATTCTATAAATCAGGTAGCAATAAAATACCTGCTGGTACTTCTACACAGGTGAAGAAAACAAGACTGAAGACAAAGGAGTCAGAGTTCACATTCATAATGCTTTATTTATCCTGGGAAAATTGGCAGTTGCTCCATATTTAAATGATATAAATAAAAGAATAACAGAATACAAATATTGATATAATATACAAAGTTAAATTTAGAATGTGCAACAAATAAAAAGATACTATTAAATGAAGAAATGTATAAACATAAGAAGTTTAAATTAAAATGTGCACTTTAAAATACAATATGCAGATAGCGTGGGGCTTTAGATCGTACGGATATCAATCATGCGGACTATGTGCAGTCATAATTTCCTAACCTTTTCTGTGCCTTTGCCGGTGTTGTGCCAAATTATGCACCCCCGGCGTGAAATGCACCCCTTGTCACGGGAATGCGCATTTGAAAATGAAACGTTTACACCTTAAAACGATGCTTAAAACGAAAAGTAAACGTCCAGGGTTTTTTTAATGGTAATTTTCAGACTGTGAGTCGTTTAGTGGTAGCTCATATAGTCTTGATTCTTGTGGTTAAACTTTTCGCTCCGTATTTTGATGGTTGGGGTGTTGCAATATACGTTGGCCAGGGAGACATTATTTGTTGACGCACAGGTGGCCCGAGGGGACGACATGAGCCGAGGGACCAGGCATGAGCGTCAGTTCTGAAGTTAGCACGGCTAGGATGTTGCATTGTATCTTTTGGAACATTACAAGTAAAGTATGTGAGAGTAAGATAGAGTGTGTCGTTATTATCAGTATAGCACACAATACATATTGAAACATGGGGTGTCGAATCCTGGATTTTGCATTCATTCGTCACTTCTTTTTCAGTTATTTTTTTATTTAATATATCTTTTTATTTAATTGTGACGTCCTGTCTGTATACACATGCTTTAAAATGTATTGTTTAATTTTACATATTTGTCATATAATAATCAAAATATATGTTTACAAATGTTACATAGTCTTTGTCAGCATATTTATGCCACGTTATGCACCCCTTGCTATCTTACATAATAAAATGGTCACATTCATGAAACTTGCTCCATGTATTGGTACTAGTCCTACAACTATACCCTACAAAATGCTTGAGGGTGGGATTAATAGAAACATATGTTTTGGGGGGGTGCATTTCACGGCGGGGGTGCATAATTCGAGCAAGTTTCATGTATGTGACACGTTTATTGTCAGAGATAGCAAGGCGGTGCATATCGTGGCAACCAGGCCTGTCGTAAAAAGCACCCCCCCCAAAAATATGTTTCTATTAATCCCACCCTCAAGCACTTTGTACCACCACTACCATCAAAATACGGAGCGAAAAGTTTAACCACAAGAATCAAGACTATATGAGCTACCACTAAACGACTCACAGTCTGAAAATTACCATTAAAAAAACCCTAGATGTTTACTTTTCGTTTTAAGCATTTTTTAAGGTCTAAACGTTTCATTTAGAAATGCGCGTTCCCGTGACATGGGGTGCATTTCACGGTGGGGGTGCATAATTTGACACAACACCGGTCGTTTTCCCTGTTTTGTGTGTGTTTCGCAGCGCGAGCGATTACAATAGGGTCTTCGCCGACCTCTGGTCTCAGACCCTAATAAATGTGATTTATATGGCTCTTTTCCTGGTGCTCAAAGCGCTTAAATGGTAGGAACCACTAAGTAATTTCACTTGTAGTACTGGATTCATACAGCAAAATGACACTTTAGAATGCAGGCTACTTGATCCTTTGTAAAAATGTTGTAATAATTTCAGCTGACACACACAGGAAAAGGTGCAGCTGTTGCTCAAGATCAACCGTCTTCTTTCTCAATCGCTTTAAACCAGCGCAAAAAAAAAGTTTAGATGAATACCTGAGGTCTGTGGTATTAAAGAAAGAGGTCTGATGTAATT